TCTCTCAATATCTAATGTCTCAACCACTGGTATTACAGTGAACTGGACTATTCCCAGTAGTGAAAACTATGTAACATACTACACCATCTCCTATACTCCATCTTGTTCCCAGTTATCATCAGTGAATGAGACAGTCTCTGTTGCTCCTCATCAGTCCACTACAACATACAGTTATACATTAATAGGCCTGTACAGTGGTATGAACTATACCATCACAGTGAGAGCTGGTAATGTACCAGGAGCATCAAATTCAAGTATGATATCAGCTAAGACATCATTATCAAGTAAAAATATATTGCTTTAAGTTTGACAATATTTCTTTATATAACCTCATCTCCCTGTACCATCTGTATACCCTCATCTCTTCATGTTAATCCAAATACTAATAGAATTATGTGGAATGAGATCAATTGTTCGCAACTCAATGGTAGATTCTAATGAAGATGGTGCTGCTATTGGACTTGCAATTACTGTAGCTTTATTGATGATTCTATTAACTATTAGTCTTGTTGTCCATGTCTACTGTTTCATAAAGTACAAAAACAATTTGTTTGAAAATTATATTAATTTATAACTCATTTCTAAAGATTAAAGTACCCTGCTTTCATTGCAACAGAAACAAATAAATCCACTGCTAAAGATGAAAATAAGTTAGTGCTTTTAATAATGGTGATATTATGATTTTGTATGACACAGAATTATTGAAGACATCAAAATAAAAGAATGTGAATCATACCGTCTTCATGAATTAAGTAAAGCAGTGGTGTATGAGGAGTGTTTGCCTGCTGATGATCAATTTCCTGATGTTAGTGAACCTACTACTGAAGCATTATACAACTACTGTGATTGATACACCTTTTGAAGTATTTAACATTGCTGGTACTCGTTATATTTTGTGTGAAAACATGAAATTTTGATATAATTTTATTTAGTTAGTTTATTGTGAATTTTTGTTGATATAGTTCATGTAATAATAATAACACATGATTTTACGTATTATAATGTGAATAAAATCTATGTTGTGAGGCTGGTGCCTTGTGCTGACCCTTATGACTACAATTCCCATTGAGAGCCTGCACTAATTTCTTACTTTTTTAATGCTACCTTGAAAGTAAAATGATTGCATTCAGTTTAATAGCATAGATCTAGCATATTGAAGAACTTACAGTTGACAACTGAGGCAAAACAATTCATCACAAAAATGAGAGTATACAAACACAATTACATGATACACGTATTACATTAGTCTACACAGGTAAATGTTGAAGTCAAAAGGACAAAAACCCAAGACTATTGTCTTTTTTTTATTTTATATTTTGCAACTTTAGATACTTGTGAGTGAACTGGAGCAAAAAAGGTCTTCCTTTTTTCAAAAAATTGGTTTTTTTTAATTTTAATAAGCAAAATATAAAAAAAAACAATAAATAGTGCCAATGTATCTAGCTAAACAAAAACTACCCAATCATGTATAATCTTGTTAATATATATAGTACTAATCTGGTGTATAGTATATATAATAATAATTTATATCCTGTATCACTACACTAGCTACTGTTACTCTAGTTAAGTTCCTTTTTTGCTTAATACTTGAGTATCTCTCCCTTGTTGACGTGTGAAACATAAATGAAGCCTTGTGAATCCCTAGCCACACCATAAGATACATTAGGACACGTTTTGACGACGTTGTTAGAATCAGGAACTATGATCCTCATTGTATTATTATTGAGTGTGACCATCTTGTATCCTTCACTATCGATTGATATTCCTGTTGCGTTTGCACCAACACTATATTGCAAAGTTTCCTTCCATCCCCCACTGTCAGATCTAGTGTATACACTAACATTGCTGTAATCAAGAGCTGTGTGAATTGAACCATTAACACTCACTGCAACATCAACTGGTCTGGCTCTGCAGTTAATAGAAGAGACAGCCTTACCTTCCATAGTGAGGATCAGTATACGAGTGTTGCTATAATCAGCAATGAATAGATGCCCCTCATTATCGCATGCTATGCCACGTGGATTAGAAAATTGCTCTGGACCGCTGCCATTTTCTCCAAACTCTCCTATGAAGTCACCAGAGAGGGCATACATCTTTACCTTGTGGCTATTGTAACTGACTGCATATAAAGTATCATTAGCCACTACCACTCCCCATGGGTTTGAAAGGTTACCTCCAGCATTATCATTGCTGCCAATCTGTTTGTAGACTTTGCCATCTGCTTGCAGTACCATTACTGTGTGGTTATCATAATCTGATACATACAACAAACCTGTACTATAATCAATGGCTATACCTCGTGAAACTGGTTTCTGTACAGGCAGTGTTGCAATGGGTGCATCAGGATTTACTTCATTGTAATCTCGTGGTGGATGGGCCCACATACAGAATGGATTGGTAGTAACCAGTGGGGCATTACGTATTTTTACTTTAAGTTGATACTCACCACTGTTGAGCACAGTGATTGATAGTGTAGCACATCCATCATTCTGTTTCTCTGATTGTGTAATGGATACTTTAGGTAGAGGTGCATCAGCATCATCTTTATTGACCAGCTCATACTGAAACAAGACGTTCCCTTCCAATGGCTTGTTCTTCTCATCTCGTAGTATCACCTTAAAAACTCTCTCCTTGCCAACCAGTGCTTCTTGTACTCCTAATCCTTCAATGGTACAGCACTCAAGATGAGGCACTCCAGGAAAGTAACCAAGAGACTCTATTGAGCCAATTATGGAATCAACTTCTAATGATGTATTCATTATCTCATTTTCTTGAAGGTCAAGTAGAAATCGGCTAAAGTTATCCTGTACACGGGTAACTTGTGCTTTAACGACTTTCTTAACTGTCAAGAACTCCTCTGGTGTGTGGTTGTTAATGGCATCATTCGTTGTCTCATCAAGGAACATTAAAACATTCTTTAATTTCTCAAACTCGTGTATTTGAGAACGCATCACGTCCTCCTTGCCACTATCTATGCCCTTACACCTCTCATGCAATATCTCCTGTCTCACCCTCACTGCTTTCACTAGATCCTCACACACACCATCAATCCTGGTCAAAGCTTCCTTTGAAGATGCTTTCATTTTTTTCTCCATTTTTTTACCTGCTGCTATTGCTTCGTCCAGTTGACCGATGGCACTGGTTATGTCAGGCATTACCTTTTTCAGGTCTTCTTGCTCACTCTTGGCAACTTTCTCAATATATTCTCTCTTGTGTCCATCATGAGTAGTCATCAGACAGTCCCTACAGACTAACACCTGATCATCAAGACAGTAGAACCGCATCTCTTCATTCCTGTGGTCTCGGCATTTTTGTGGTGGATGCTTTATCTTCAGTGAATGTCCTTCCTTCTTCTTCAAAGGTTCCAACTCAATGACTTCATGTGTTCGTAGCTCCCTCCATCTCTGATGGTCAGTATTGCATGCATCACAAATGAACATGCAGCAATTCTCACAGAAGTATGAGGCTCCCTTGTTGGGACAGTTTTCACAAGGCACTTTGCTTTCCATTTTCTTATTGTAACTTGTGACCTCCGCAAAATGGCTCAGTCTCAGATTGACAGGTAACCCAGCACTTGCATCTTCATCATTAGAAGGTACGACAGTCCTCTGTCCACATGTTGGACAGTTGAAGTGTTTATTTCCTTCAACTGTTTTTGCTTCTTTATCAATGTGTTTGAGCAGGCACTTTTTACAGAACGAGTGAAGGCAAGAGAGCAGAAAAGGCATTTGTAAAGGTTCGCTGTAGACCTTGTGACAAATAGTACACAAAGGATCAATGACTGTCCTAGCCCTGTTCCTTTGCCGCGGCTTTATTTCATTGGAAGCCATCACTTCAGTGATCAATCACTGCACCGTGATAATTGAACAGGCACAAACCGAACCATAGATTTTATAACTACGTAACATGGATTGGAAACTGATGACGTCACGCGGACAGACTCTCAGTGCAGTGACTCTGACTGTAATGGTGGAAAAGCAATGGAAGGACTAAACAAGTTCTTCTCAAAGTCTTCAGCTGTACTAGTTTTAGTTTTATTTACTATTGATGATAAGCAGATAGGTCTTAAGAGTTCATGACTGTTCTTTGTGACACTTAATCCCAGTTTTACTGACAGAATCTTCTCCTCTCGCGGCCCCATGTTATCACTGAAATTGCCTTTGTGATGGCACAAATTAGTGAATACAGCTATTATTTTTTTCACTGTATGGTCTGTGGCTTGGTTAATAGCCTATCCTCATGTCAAAAACTCTGAAGTTTTTTGTAGTCTGGTCCTTTTTCCTTAGTTCGCACTCTATCTAAAGATATAGGTTGAATAGATGGGCCTATGAAAATGGACATTTTGGCAGTTTATGGCTTGTACTTAGCGCTTGTGATAATGTAACTGTCCTATCCTCATGCAGCTTTGTTTGATGCATATTTTCATACTATAACTTGTTTAGTTTTAGTTACTCCAAGCAAGTTATAGGTTGAATAGATTTCACGATTATCACGCATCGTGAAAAAGCTCTCTTTTTCTCATATTACATCAAAACAAAACATCACACCCAGTGGCGTATCCAGACTGAAGAAGTGAAGATGATATGATGGCAGGGTAGGGGGTAGGGTCTCAAAAGCGGACGGACGGACGGACGCGCACGGACCCGAAAGGGACGGACGGATGCGGACCCGATAGGGATAGGGACCATAAATACCACCTGAAAGCTCCCGTTCAATTGACAAGACAGCCATGTTAGCCAGTCTTTCATCACCCATTGTTGAGCGTAAATGGTTTTTTATTAACTTTAAAGTTGAGAAAGAACGCTCACACTGTGCTGTTGAAACAGCAACAGTCATGGCAATTCTCACCAGTCTGGAAAGGGGCTTCAATTGAAGCAAAACATCGCCAATGGTAGCCAGCTCAGTCTTTGCCTTCTAACATCCTCTTTGCTAGTGAAGCTTCCATTTCAATCTTATCCTTTGGCAGATCATAAGAGTCGATGAGTGGTTGCAAAGAATCCGTCTC